AGCTTTCTATGACAATCCCCAGGACCTCCCTTCTTTTGGCCATTTCTATGGAAATGTGGTGTCAGATGAATGGTACTGGTGCCCTCTAGTGGCTGGGAGACCTCATTGCACATTGCCGACCGGAGCTTTGAGACCAGGAGAGACCGCCAAATGACTTCTCTCCATCTACAATGTTGCATCAATGAACCCTACACTGTGCGAGGCCCCTCCCAGGACATGGATATGACCACACCCTCTTTGGCCGGGGTGTTTTCTGTAGCAGGTTTTCATATTCTTTTCAAACAATGGTTTCTCTGCGTTAGTAGTTAAAGAAGAAGAAAAGAGGCGGAGTAAGAAAACCGCCCATGCATGATGTAGAGAGCTGTTGATTTTGTTTTGTTTTTTTTTAAAGGAAAACTATTTGTAAGATGTTGCACTAAAACGTTTTATATACACTTCAGACACCTGTAATAAATTATGTTGAAAATATGGCTGGCTGCCTTTCCTGGAGCGCACCCTGGGGTAGCAGTGAGCTCTGCCCCCACATTGTCCTGCTAGGCTCAAGGTTCATGAATCTCGGCCTTCATTATCATGTACTGCCCCCAGCGTAAGCGGTGCCCTTGTGCACACGATACCAAAAAAGACAAAACCCTTTCTCAAAACACTTGATTGCCACCAGCTGAAAATGGATCATCGTAAACATATAGCTCTACCCTGACTGTGCAGGCTGCGCTGTGCAGCACACACCACACCAGAGGCCTGCGAGGCAGGTTTAGAACACAGAGCTTGTGACCTCTAGCTTCCTTTTGAGGGGGTGGATGAGGAAGCGGGCAGGGTGGGGTAAGAGGAAACTGATGGAGAAGAGCAGGAACATGAGACAAACTTCGTGGAGGGCCGTCGAGGGCCTCTGCAGCAAGACCGCACCATCTTTCTCAAGCTGGGGAGATACTCGGCAAGCATTTTCCAGGCTGGAGGAACGGCAGGAGCTATGCATTCCTGATCAGTGAGAGCACGCAGCACCACAGTCTCAGGCCCCCCGCACAACTGGAGTGCCGGGGCGTTGTCTGCAAAGGGAGGAGAAGGGCAGAGTGACGCAAGCCATAGCAGTGGCACATGACTAGTCAGAGCCCAGCTGTCAGTGTTTAAAGCACACCCCAAAATATGCCAGAAGGACCTAGATAGAGGGTATGAAGCGGAGGGAGGTGTTTTTCCTTTTTCTTTTTAAAACCCAAGCCCTTCCAGTGCTTTCCTCAGCTCCTTATCAACTTCCTGCAGCTGTGGGCTTGGCCAGCAGTTGAAATGTGACTTTATCCCTTGGGTACCCAGAGCGGTTCCATGTTGTCTTATTATTTTTCCTGCTTTTTTCTCCAAGGGCTCTCCCCCTATCCCTCAACCCCCACCACCTCAGTTTTTTTTAAATCATTTTTCAACTAGAGGCCTGATGCATGGAATTCGTGCAAGGGGCTCGGCCCTCACAGCCGCCCACTGGTCACTCTGGAAGGTTATTCTGGAAGGTCATTCTGCCATCGGTTTAATTAGCAAATTAGCACATTATTATATAGGATTACTCTTGACATACAACATAATTAATTTCAGGTGTGCTACCCAGTGATTAGACGTTATATTACTTACTAAGCAATCGTCCTGATAAATCTCATATCCATCTGACACCATTCAGAGTTATTAGAATAATGTTGACTATATTCCTTATGCTGTACTTTACATCCTGTGACTATTCTGTAACAACTGATTTGTACTTCTTAATCCCTTCACCCTTTTCACCCATTTCCCAACCCTCCTCTCACCTGGCCAACAGTCAGAATACCCTCTGTCTATGAACCTGTTTCTGTTCTGCTTGTTCCTTTATTTTGTTTTTTAGGCTCAATTTTTGATAGATATGTATTATTTATTTGTTATTTATATTTTTGATCTTCTTAAAGAAGACCCTTTAACATTTCATGCAATACTGGTTTGATGGTGATGAACTGCTTTAGCTTTTTCTTGCCTGGGAAGCTCTTTTTATGTGTTTCAATTTTATTTTTATCTTTTTAAATCCTTACCTGAGGATATTTTTCCATTGATTTTTTTTTTTTTTTTTTTTTTTTTTTTTTTTTTTTAGAATGGGAGAGGGAAAGACAGAAATATTGATGTGAGAGAAACACATCATTTTATTTTATTTATTTATTTTTTTGCCTCCTGCATGCATCCCGACTAGGGCTGGAACCAGGGAGAAACCTGCAACTGAGGTTGAACCCTGGACCTTTGGGTCCGCAGGCCGACACTCTATCCACTAAGCCAGTGTTTTTCAACCTTTTTTGGGCAAAGGCACACTTGTTTCATGAAAAAAATCACGAGGCACACCACCATTAGAAAATGTTAAAAAATTTAACTCTGTGCCTATATTGACTATATATAAAGTAATTCTCTTGAATAGGAATCAAATAAACACAAAGAAAGTATTTTATAATTACTTTATTATGAAATATTAAGTAAACAAAATAGTGAAAAATTATAAAATTCTTGTCTTGTCTGCACCTACGGCACACCAGGCAACATCTCGCGGCACACTAGTGTGCCGCAGAACAGCGGTTGAAAAACGCTGCACTAAGCCAAACCCACTAGGGCCGTGTTTCCATTTTAAATGATAACTTTGCAGAGTGGACTAATCTTGGTTGTAGCTACTTGTTTTTTTTATCACTTTGACTATTTCTTGCCACTCCCTTCTGGCCCAATAAAGTTTCTGTTGTGCAATCAGCTGACGGTCCAGGTGAATTTTAGAGGATGTTTATTAAAGCCCAGGACAGTGAAACAAGGAAGGGCCTAGGGATAACAGGAGGGGGGAATAGTGGGGAAATGGGGTTAGGCTGGGCTGCTGTGGCTCACTTAGAAGTCAGAGAAAAGGAGGCCTGGGAGACCGGTGAGGGTATTAGCTCAGGACAAGCTACCCTGGTGGCAATCTCATGGGGTCCGTTGCAGTTTAGGAGCGATGTGCCTGTGGGGGAAAGAAGTGGCCCTTCCTTCCCGGAGGGAGAGCACGCTGGGATCTTGTTTCCAAGTTGGGTGTGTAAGTGCCAATCCGCCCGTTGTTTATGAGTGAAGTGAATAGACAGTTCTGCAGGAGGCAAGAGGACTCTCCTGTCTGTAGGTCTAGGAGCAGCGATTTCCTGTGTTCTAGGACTTGCAGGCTTCCTGGGAGAAGTTCCAAGGCTGGCAAGAACGAGAGCCAGGGAACCAGAGAGCAGCACCCACCCCATGCTCCCAGAGCGGACAAAGGAGCTCCTTTCTGGACTTCTAGTCCAGGGCCATCTACAGTGACAGCAGGCCTCCGCTCACTGGCCCCAGGAGGAGAGCTATAGCCAGCCCTCCTTCGGTGGCAACGTAGGGCCTTTTGGCCATCTACCTGAGGCATTTCAGATCCAGTCTTTCTGAGCCACTACAGATTTGTGAAGTCAGCTGGACCAGGTACTTAATTGCTTCTGGAAAGGTTTTTTAAGAAAAGTATTTTTTAATTGGCTTCAGAGAGGGAGAGAGAGGTATTGATAGAAACATCAACGATGAGAGAGAATCATTAATTGGCTGCCTTCTGCACACTCTACCCTGGTGATCAAGCCTACAAGCCCAGCATGTGCCCTAACTGGGAATCGAACCGTGTCCTCCTGGTAGATGCTCAACCACTGAGACATGCCAGCTGGGCCTAGAAAGGTTTGATGGGAGCTCAGTATATTTCTCTCTCACTCTTCCTCGTCAGATGATTTTTTTTTTCTTCCCCAGAGAGAGTGAAAGGGAGGAAAAACAAACATGCTGTCAGAGAAACACATGGATTGGTGCATGCACCCCAGGGAGGGAATCCAATCTGTAATCCAGGTAGTGCCCTTGACTGGGAATCAAACCAGTCAAGGGCACTACCTGGGTGCAGGGGCAACGCTCTAGCCAAGGAGCACACTGGCCAGGGCAGCACGGCCTCTCTCTTAGGGCACTGCTCTTGGGTCAGGGGCGTGTCCAACCCAGGCAGACTTAGTGAACCATTCCTCACACGCCTCCGCTCTTCCACAACCGGCAGCATGCTGGTGTTTACTGCCTTCGGACAGGCCCTGACCCTGCAAGAGTTCCCCTATAACTCCCACGGGCGGACTGGGTGCTTTTCTCCCAAAGAAAGGGAGCTGAGAGGGAGGCTGGTGGCAGCAGCTGGTTCTGGGGGTAACCTGGTCTGGAATGGGGTGGATTTGAGGAGAGGGCACACCAATCAAGAAGATAGGATGGAGAGTTCCGTGGAGAGGAGATTTTGATTGGCCCAACAGTAAGGGAGCTGACCCTCCGCTTCGGGCCGGGAAGGTCCACAGTTGAGATGGAGGAAAAGAAGCGCCAAGAGGGAAACTGAGGCGGCCAGCCCCCGGGGCAGGGGTGGGGGGGTGGAGAGTGTTGGGGCTGGGGGGTCAGGCTTGAGGAGGATGAGGAGACTGGCGGTTAAGGGGCTGCATCAGTAACCCCCCGCTCAAGCTAGCAGGTGTCCGACATCTCCCGTTTCCTTGTTTTATTTTATTTTATTTTATTTTTTATTTTATTATTTTTTGCAGAGAGGAAGGGAGAGGGATAGAGAGTTAGAAACATCGCTGAGAGAGAAACATCGACCAGCTGCCTCCTGCACACCCCCCACTGGGGATGTGCCCGCAACCAAGGTACATGCCCTTGACCGGAATCAAACCCGGGACCCCCTAGTCCGCAGGCCGACGCTCTATCCACCGAGCCAAACCGGTTTCGGCCCGTTTCCTTGTTTTAATCGCGGAAGAAAGAGCGGCTTCAAGAGGCTGTGTCTGGTCCGGGGTCCCATGAGCTGAATACCTTGGCGGGGAAAGCAAGCTCCCCGCGGAGGAATCACGGGCTCCCGCACCTCCCGGTCCTTGGGCGGAGTCCTGTCCAGCACTCGGGGAACGGCTGTGGGAGGGGGAAAAGGCGGAAGCGATGCCTCTCGCCCCGCCCCTATAGCCCCGCCCCTGTAGCCCCGCTCCTGTAGCCCCGCCCCCGATAGCCCCGTCCAGCCGGCCCCGGCGCCGGATTCGCAGCGTGAGGACCATTTTTACACCATGGCCGCAGGCAGCGCCGCGGGAGCCCTCCTCCTGTCCATCTGGGTGCTCCAGCTCGGTGAGTGTGTCCTCCCCGAGCCCCGCGGGCCTGGGCAGCGCCGGGGCGCCCTTGGGTTCCACGACTCCGGGGCCGGCCGGGTCGAAGGTTGGGGTGCGAGGCCACTGCTGGTGGCCTCCTGGGCGGGGCTCGGGGTGCGGGTGCGGGTGCGGGTGCGGGTGCGGGTGCGGGTGCTGAGGGACGCCGCGACCCCGAGCCCGGCCCGAGAGCCGTGCTGCCCGGCGGCGCGCTCCCTCGGCCGGGCCCGGAGGAGCTGGGCGGCGGCCCCCGGAATCGCTTTGGGGCGGAGAGGGCCGCCTTCCTCGCGCTGCCCCGCTCCGGCCTCCTTCGCCCCTCTTTCCGGAGCTCCGCCCCCGCCCGGGGCGCTCGCCCCTTTCCCCCCGGTGTTCCTCCGAAGGGAGGGGGCCCTTTCTCTGCCTCGAGTGAAAGTTACAAGTTACTTCGGAGCCTGCGGGGATCGAAGGGGTGGCGCCGAACTTGAACGGGCTTTCTCACTCTCGGGGCCCCACCCACCGGCTTTGGCGGGCCGGCTCCGAAGCACCAAACACCCGGAGGGGGCGACTCTGAATGGCCCTGCGGTGGGCAGGGGGGGCAGGGGGAGAAGTATCGGTAGCGTTGGCCTCACTTAAAGTTTCCTAAGTAGGGCCTCTCCTCCCCGTCCTGGGGATGTGCCCGCCACCAAGGTCCATGCCCTTGACCGGAATCGAACCTGGGACCCCTCGGTCCGCAGGATGACGCTCTATCCACTGAACCAAGACGGTTCAGGGCTGAAATCACTTATCTTTTGAAACAAGGACTCAGTGAGAGGGATGGCATTTGAAATGTGGCCTTTGGGGACAGGTGGCTTGTGGACCTGCTGTGATTGAGAGAGCCGGTGAGGAAGGCAGGGCCCCGGGCAGAGGGGAGTGGACAGGTGAGCCTGGGCACGCGTGCCCACTCCAGCTGGAGACCCCATGGGGAGCCCGCAATGGGAGTCCCCGTGGGAGTTTAGATTCCCTTCTTCAGACAAAGGAGAACTCTTTCTGGGCCTGTCGGGCTCCGAGCCATGTGCTTAGGAAGCGTAAGCTGGCCGGCCGCAGGAAAGAGGAAGGACTGCAGAGGAATTGGAGGCAGGGGGCCCAGGGCAGAGGCCATCACACGGCCCCAAAGACCTGGGAGGGCTGCAGAGGCCGTGGCTGTGGGAGAGGGAGGAGACACAGAGCTTGCATGGTTGGAGTGATTCTTCCAGAAGAGCTGATATCTCTCCCTGGTCCCAGAAAGGCACTGCAGGTACCGTGGTTCAGACGTGCGCCCCACCCCTCACCTGAGTCATAACTTCTCTGAGTTACCTACCTTCCCTGTACCTCAGTAATTTCTTCCTTAAAAGAATAGTGACAGCATCAACTTCATAGAAAAATTGTGAACCGCTTTGTACAAGGGCCCAGGGATGTGGACGCAGCCAGGAAGACTCCCCTGGTTTTGAGAGGCGTATGTGGTAGTGGGGCGGAGGTGGGGAGGGGCAGTTAACAAGGAGCCAAGTAAATAGAGACGGGGTGGTGGTAGAGTTGACATTTAGGAAAGGGGAGGGGAAGTGGTCAACATTTCTTCTTGAGTCATTAAACCTCAGCCGCATTTAAAATCTTTAGAAGAGTTGCCACAATAGTACCGAGAAGCCCTAACCGATTTTGCTCAGTGGATATTGTCGGCCTGCGGACTGAAGGGTCCCAGGTTGGACTCCAGTCCTGGGCAGGTACCTTAGTTTCGGGCACATCCCCACTTGGGGGTGTGCAGGAGGCAGCTGATGGATGTTTCCCATGGATGTTTCTAACTCTCTATCCCACTCTTCCTCTCTGTGAAAAATCAATAAAATAAAAAATAAAAATGGTCTGGGATCCGGATGTAGGTCTGCACCCCAGATGGAGGCCTGAGTCCTGGGAGGGCAGTTAGGGCCAGAGAGGGAGGCCTGAGCCCTGGGGCAATCTGGTACTTCACGTGGTCATCTTGGTTATGGAATGGTGGTCTGGGTTACAGATGGAGAACTATATCCCTGATACAAGACTGGATTTTGTGTTTGAGTCCCAGGGCCCAGGGATAATATTCTCGGCCCCGCCGTAATGGTCTGGTACCTTGTTGTAGGTCTGAGCCTGGGAGGTAGGTCTGGGTGCTAGAGGGAGGTGTGGTCACTAGGGGGCTGTGGTCACTAGGGGGCCTTGGTGGCAGGTTTGGGTCAAGGGCACGGCCTGGGGATGATGCAATGGTGGTCTGGACTAGCCTGGATATTTAGACTCCAGTAAAGGGATAGGCAAAGCATTCCAGTCTGGGTCCCCTGGGTGGCCTTCTGGTCCTCCCCATAAAGGTCTGGGACCCGGCCACAACCGGTTTGGCTCAGTGGATAGAGTGTCGGCCTGCTGACTCAAGAGTCCCAGGTTTGAGTCCAGTCAAGGGCGTGTACCTTGGTTGTGGGCACATCCCCGGTAGGAGGTGTGCAGGAGGCAGCTGATCAATGCTTTTCTTTCTTTCTTTTTTTTTTTTTAAATATATTTTATTGATTTTTTTACAGAGAGGAAGGGAGAGAGATGGAGAGCTAGAAACGTCGATGAGAAACATCTGACCAGCTGCCTCTTGCACACCCCCTACTGGGGATGTGCCCGCAATCAATGTACATGCCCTTGACCGGAATTGAACCTGGGACCTTTCAGTCCGCAGATGGACGCTCTACCACTGAGCCAAACCGGTTTTGACTGATCAATGCTTTTCATCAATGTTTCTAACTCTCTCTACCTCTCCCTTGCTTTCTGTAAAAAATCAATAAAATATATTAAAAATATCTTAAAAAATAGTACTGTGAATACCTGTGCACTTTTCTCCTGGAATCACCAGTTGGTGACATTTTGTCACATTTGGTTTACATCTCTCTCTCTTTATACACACGTGTACTAAAATTTATTTTTACGTTGGGCCATTTGAGAGTTGCAGCTCTTAAGACACCTTACACCTACGGTATATATTTCCTTGTCTTCTAAGAAGCCCGGGGCTTTGGTAAGACACAGAACCACGTGGTGACAGGAAACACAGCTTCCCTGTTTTGTCCGAGAGCCCAGAATCCCAAGGAGACTCGCCCTGCATTGGGAAGGCATGCCCTTTCCACCCCCTTTGACCTGGAACTGTTGCCAACCTGTTCCTTTGTTTCTTATTTCCGACATCACCGTTTTCAAAGGGTCCGAAGGGGTTATTTCATAAAATGTCCCTCGGTTTGGATCGTCTCTGTCCTCGTGATCAGATACTTTCTCGGACGGGGATTTTTATGTGTGTGTGTGGAGCGGGGGAGGGGGCTGGGAATTCTTATGGGTGTCTTGGGCCCTCAGCGCATCTCATCTGTGTGGCAGGTGCAGTCCGGTTGCCCCGTTCTGGGGACTGTTAACTTTGGCTATTTGGTTAAGGTGAGTTCACCAGGCTTCTCCCGGGTAGAGGCACCGCTCCCCTCTGTACATAGTCCGTGACTTGTTAAGTGGCATTTTGAGATCGTGTGATTATCCCGTTTCCCAACAATCTTTCACGCACGGTTTCAGCAAACAGTGGCGATTCTTTGTAGCTGGCAAGTCCCCGTGCCCGAGTCTCTTTATACACGATTGACATTCTTCCCTTTGTCTCTTCGTGGATGTTTGCTACATGGCATTCCTGTAGGCTCGGCGACCTCAGATTTGCAAGTGGGACTCCCTCAAGCTTCAGTGTCCTTAAAAACAAAACAACAACAACAACAACAACAAAAACTTTAGTGTCTATTTGCCACGTTTCCAAGAGTTTTTGAGTACTTACTTCCTTTCTGGCCCAGAAAGATTCTGGACTCCTCTCCCGCCTCAGCCTCGGAATCCGTAGAGTCCCTCGTCCCATTCCGTCAGGGAGGGGACTCAGAAATCACGCTCTGAGTGCTGGGGGCGCCCGAGGGGCTGGACCCCTGGCTTCCAGGCCCTGCCTGGGGTCAGAGCCAGGAAACAGTTTTCACAAAGTGGTGGGCTTGTCGTGTTGCCACTAAGGCTGACCCAATAATTAGATTCTTCTTCCCCTTTTCCACCTTTGCATCTTGCTTCTCACAGTGAGAACTCTATTCTTAGTAGCATCAGTATATTTTCCTAATCTATATTAAACACGAAATTCTTTGATAATCACTATGCCAATACCACTGCCAAGCACAGACAATTAAGTATAGTTCAAAATTTCTTTGCCCTTTTTTTAAAAATATATATATTTTACTAATTTCTTACAGAGAGAAAAGGAGAAGGATACAGAGCCAGAAACATTGATCAGCTGCCTCCTGCACACTCCCTACTGGGGATGTGCCTGCAATCAAGATACATGCTCTTGACCAGAATCAAATCTGGAACCCTTGATTCCACAGGCCAATGCTCTATCCACTGAGCCAAACTGTTTAGGGCTGTCCTGCTTTGTTGTTGTAGTTTAATCTTTACCCAAGGAAATTTTTTCATTGATTTTATTTTAGAGAGAGTGGGAGGAATGTAAAGGGAGAGAGAGAGAAAAAAACAAAACAAAAAAAACAATGTGAGAGAGACACTCAATTGGTTGCCTCCCACACACACTCTGATCCGGCCGGGATGGAACCTGCAACCCAGGTATGTGCCCTTGACCGGGAACCAAACTCTTGACTCTTCTGATGCTTAGCCAGGACTCTGCCACTTTTTATTTTTGTACATGTTCCTCCGGATATGTACAGAATATTAGATTTTAAAGTTACCTGAATCTCTGTTTCTTCTGTGTGGTTATGTTATTGACTTGTATATAGTTGCATTAATTTGTTACTGTTTTATTCAGTTTTAAGGGTTTCCCCCTTTAATTTTTAAACATGTAAATATAGTAACATGACTCAGATCACTATATAAAGATAGGCTCAGAGAAATCCTGCTGCCTCCTTCCCCATAGCATATAACTTGTTTCTGTTTTATCTTTCTTCTTTCTATTTGCTGTTATAAACAGATACATGTGGTTGTTTCTAACTCCATTTTTAA